TATCAGTAGATGTCTAAGATTTTGTGGTGTGAAATGCGTGTTGATTGATCGGCATAAAGATGAAGAGTGAGGTAGAGAGAGAGGTTGATGATGACAACAGAATTTGGTGTTTCTTGACAATAAAACACGACATCGTATTCAGTAACGTGTCTAGCATCGGACAAGAGGAATGGATACTGAAGATTCGTTTGCACATACACGGAATTATCGACTTCTTTCAAAGCTTTCATTTGTTAGCTTAGTGAATTTGAATGTAAATTTAGATAAAGAGGACGGCTAAGATTCTTGACATCTCGGCGCCAAGCACCTATATCTCAAAAAAGCTGGGGATATTTTCTGAAACTTGGCACTACTTACCCATTATTCGAAATTATAAATGGCGCGCAGGACCTATTACGCCATAGACCCTTCGGCAAACTGAATGATGGTTATAATTACCATAAAGTGAATTGCAGAATGTGATTCGTGAATTTTTGAATGTTTTTTCTTAACAATTGTTAAAGAATCTTGGAGGATATATTTCCGTACCCATATTGTTCATACAACAGGATATACCAAAAGTAGGGAGATTCGGAGAGTATGGAAGACTAGGGGAGAACACCTAGTATGCATGGGCGGCTAGCGAAAAAGCTTGATCATCTTTTCGCTCCACGTTTGACACCCACAATTTTCATCTCGGAATGTTTTTGGTCTTGGGTTTCATGCTCGTTAGAAGGAACTTCCCCCGATGACAATGTATTGCTGATTATTAATAAGAAAGAGAGAGGAGAGAGTGTGAGATCTTGAGTAAGATTTTGAGAGGAAAGTTGACGTGAATGATATGCATTGCATATTTGTGTACCAATATGAAATCTTCACATAGGATAGATATATCGGGTCACTATGTATGATGGGTGCTATGCATGTATCGCATCTAAACTACCGGTAGAGAGTGGAGATGACATTATCACAACTTGTTGCATTCCGTTCTGTACTCATCTCATATCGCTCTAGAGAATAAAAAGGAAGTACAGTACATATCAGTCACATTTCACTGTAATAAACCAGTCTGTGCTCATACAGCATCTAGAATGTATAAATTCCAGTACAGTACCACTCTGTACTCACATAGCATCTAAAATCTAGCGAACAAAAACATAAATTCCAGTACAGTACGACATATTCTTGTAGTCTATTATGTGTTGATACAACATCTAGACTCTAGAGAATGAAAAAGAAATACAGTAATACAACATCTTGTTGTACTCTGTGCATCTCCCTCGTAATTGTAACGTATTGGATGGCTTTGTGCCTCTCGTATTGGTAGACGGATTTTCAATATACTTTTTTTTCAACACCACTGGCGTCTCAAATATGCATTAATCGGATCAACAATACGTAATGGCGCCATTCTGACGATCTTTCAGCCAGCCAAATGCAAAACGCTAATGAATTTGGGAGATTCTTGAAGCAAAATGTAGTTCAACCAATTAGAACTCATGAGGTATTGTTCCTTGTTCATCACGTGCTGATAGACGGCCGGAATAACTATATGCCTAGTCCTATCTTCAACAGGCTAGCTCCACTGTAATTCAACTAAGCAAGCATCACGACCTATCTAACTTCACATCTGACATGAAAGTAAACAACATTCATAGCGTTTGATATTTGTCCATAATTTTGATATCCAATACTTAGTGATTCTTACTTTATAGATTAGTTGTTACAACTCCAACAAATGTCAAGACCCTACCGAAAGTCAACAAACTAACACAAGAGACGCACAATCCGATTAGATCCTAGAGTCTCAAAGTCCATTTCTACATACATCCCATACACTTGCGCCTATCATTAAAATGCCTCCCATGGCAAGCCAAAAAGGAACGGGAAAGAAGGGTCGAGATCCCCGCCAATCCCGAAGTCGAAACACAACACCAAGTCTAGTGGGTACCGCGAGCTCAGTCGCGCCTTCTGATGCCGGAAAAACTCCCTACACACAAATTCCGATTAGTATTCTTAGGACTTCGGTAGCAGATGAAATTGTCGACCAACACGCTTCCGCAATTCCCAACTCAAGAGAGCTCGAGGCGCTTATGCAACGTATGGAAAGACTAGCTGCAAGCATAGATGAACGTGCTGCGGTATGCGACAAGGGGATGCGAGTTCTGGCACAATCAAGGAAGCATAGGAACGAGGAACTGGAAATTGAAAAGCGAGACGAAGAATTGAAAGAAAGAATGAAGAAAGACCAGGCGGATGAAGATGAGCGTGGGAGACATAAGGCTCACAAAATCAAAAAGAGAAAGGATGTCAGTAGTGCTAGAGAAGAGCGGCCATTGACACATGGTGCCCATGGTTTGGCACCACAAGATGGATCCAATATTGGTAAGTCACCTTTCGTTACGGTGTACACATCAGTATAGTGTTAACGTTGAGCTTCACTTCCAACCGTGCCTCGCTAATTCAATTCACTTGCAGAAGTCGCCGTTCCTAGCCGTGACTATACACACAAACATCACAGAAAAGTATCAAAAGAACGAGACAATGATTCAATAAGCTCGTCACTTTCACCACCTGCTCCTGCAACACCATCCGCAGGTATGAACACGGATACGAAGCCAAATGGTACTGCCGAAGACGAGTCCAGCTCCGATGAACATCAACCTCCTCCAGCACCCAAAATCGCCAATTACCAGACATTCGGAGCGGATCCATCTACGTTTCCCGATCCAACGGTCTACGAAATTACAAAAATAAAACCCGGTGATCCCAGGATGAGCGAAGAAGAAAAGAAGAAGGTTTATTCTGTAGCAGCCTACCCGAGGAATGATCTTCATGATCTTATTCCTGGAACACCACCCGACAAAGATTTCAGCAACGCGAAACCCACAAACCAAGTACAAGCTAACACTTTTGCGACATATCTGGAGCCATACTTTCGACCATTCACAGAAGAAGATCTCGCCTTTCTACGTGAACGTGGCGATCGTGTGAATCCATTCATGATTCCTAGACGTGGAAAGAAGCACTATACCGAAATCTGGGCCGAGGAAGATGGCGCCATGTCAGTTGATACACCAAATCAAGGGCGAGATAAATTACCTCCAAATCAAGCCCGTGGAAGTATTGATGAAATTGATGATGCCATAGCGGAAACGGATCAAATTTCTGCTGGCCCAATGTTATCGAGATTATTGGCAACTTTAAGACCGGAAAATAGAGCGGCTCCTTCCGAAGACAAACCTATGACGAACGGTGTGAGCAATGGCGAAGGTAGTTTCAATGGTGAAATGAATGGCGACATGGGGGAACCAAGCCAGCATAGCGACACATCTCCATTACCTCCTGCAACTTTTATGGCCGAATCAGCATCAGAATCATGGAAGAAAGCAACTCACCCAAAGCTTGATCATGCGCAAATAGATGAAAGGATTAAACAAGAGCTTCGACACATTGGATTTCTACCCCCTGATGCCGAGCCCGATTACGATGCTCATTACGATGACGAGATAGCCGCACGACTTCGTTTCCTCCAAGCAAAACTCAAAGAACAATCGATTATTAACGGTGCCCGTAAGGCTCGATTACAGGAAATCACGAAGGAGCGTATGGCTCATCAAGAATACCAAACTATCCTTGAAGATCTTGACGGTCAAGTAAATGCAGCCTATACCAAACGATCCCGCACAATCGGAAAGACCAAAAAGAATAAGAAAGCTGGCGGTGCTGGCGGTGGTAATCAAGCTGTCAATGGCGCTGCTGGTACAGCAAGACCGGGTCTTGGTGATATGACCAAATCATTAATGGAAAAGCGTCAAAAATGGATCAAAAACATTGGGGCAGTTTTTGATGATGAGCGGAACTTAGGCAAAGTGCCTCGTGCAAAGGATGAGGGTAGCTCAATCTTCAAGCCTGAAATTATGAGCGAATTCATTCGGAGAGAAAAGGATGGGTGGGATGATGATGGAGAAGAAGAATGATCTTGTAGTTTACAGTTACCATTAATAATGGGCCATATTGATGAAGGGAACTAAGGGATTTTCAGCTACATTGTTAGCTTGGCAGACGGCTATGGAGTTTACTGACAGCGAGGTTGCATTAATATTGCAGATATAGCGTATGGCCTTTATGAATGAATGGATTGCTTTGACTTCATGGTATATACAGAATCGTTCATTATTCTGGACGAGTTGTTCGTGTTGGGCAAATCAATGGGTAGGCAGAAATAACCTGCTCATTCTTTGTAGATGAAATAAAGTGACTTCGAGTAGTTCATGAGAGTCTTGGAGATGATTTGTGAGAGTTACACAAATTATCCAATTTATATGCAGCTGATCCTTAAATGTATGATGTATGTTTGTTATGACGGCTCCAGATGGGTAGATGCATTGCACTTTCCTTTTGCCCGTAGTTCTTTGCTTAGACGGTACCACAATAGTCGAATTTGTTTTGGAAAATGCATGTCGATGGGCTGCCGTGTTTGACATTGGCGTTTGAAATTGTAGGGGAGAGTCTTTGTGACATTAAAGGATGATTCAAATATCTACATTGAATCGGGAGAAATGCTCGAGAAGATACCTATATTGCATTGATCGAAGTCTTCGTCATGATTAAGAAGCTGCAGACGTAAGCTTTTCAATTCGATTATAAGTTGAATATGTACATTCACTTGAAACTTGCCGGTCAAGAGAAGCGATATACAAATTACGTTCCCGTCCGTGATACTTGTGACTATTATCCTCACTTTCCTTCTTCCGCTCCGAACTGAATGTTCAAATTCGAAATACAGATAAGAGTATTGGATGAGCCAAAACCAGAGGGAGCGTTGGTCGAGGTTCCCAGAAGAGGCAACGTGCCTACCACTTTCAGGAAGCGAGAAAAAAGTATAAGTAAACAAACAACCACAACTCACCTTTTTTTTTTGATAATCCCCCCCCTCAGCGATCTCAATCACGTCGTCTCCTTTTAAAAATTCCCCAATACGTCTCAAGTCTCCCTGAGATAACCTGGAATCTTCAATCATGGAATCAGCTTACAGAACACAGCAAGATTTGATGGCCAAAAAAGCAAGGGAAAATGGAATTCCAACGTCTGAAATTACAAAACAATTTCAAGCAACACTGACCCAAGTTTACGAGCAAAATCCTCAATGTACTGAGGCTTGGGCATTGGGAAAAGCAGAATATCACGTTGTATGTAAACCCCCAGTTATCTCTTTTGAATTGCATGTGTTTTTTACGCCGGCATTAAAATACTGACAGCACGCTCTAGTGGACCCAGTTCTGTGAGTTTACGTATTTCGTTTCATTTATATAGAAATGATGTGATTTGGCTGGGTAGATAAAAGTCACTTCTAATCCGATTGTAGTTCCAAACGATCCATGGCCAGGTATCCTCCCCAGAACATCACAATCACCCTTCAGGAATGAGACAATACGCTCCGAGTCCGGCGAGATTACGAGTTCGCCGGAGAAGGGATCGTTGAGTTTCCCAAGCAGACCGAAGCCTAATTTTTCAATCAAGATCGAAGATGTGCTTCTTAATGCAGCTGGCAATCCAAATGTACTGGCGGTATACCGGGAGGCATTGGTAAACATGAAGGAAAGATATCCACGCGAAAGCTTGGAGTGGCAACAGTGGATGGCAGGAAGTAAAATTTGGTCGTCTAATTGTATACATTTACCACAGGAATTGGGTTCAGATGTATCTTTGCTAACTTATAATTAGTTCGTCAGAGGGGCACCTTTCCCTGCAACGAGCCACCTAGGTCATACATTCTCCGGTCTTCAGACGCCAATCGCCTCAACACTGTAAGTCCTCGCCGTGGTGGCGAGGATAAGTCTAGAAGCGGGCGATTTGGTGGTAGCTGGCAAGCTGAAGAGGCGACTAGTCGACGTAGATCTAGGTCGCCTCCAGTTGAACAAATGGGAAGAGACAGATATCGACAAAATAGGTCCGAAGGAACCACGAGACAAGGTAGGACAATCAAAACCGAAGAGTCGCCACGAAATTTCAAAGCAATGAGAGTTGGAGAAACAAAAAAAGACAGTGGGAATGTAATGAGGACAAGAGAGGATGATCCATTGACTTATGGACCAAAAGAGAATGAAATGCAAAAGAAAGCATACAGTATGGGTGGTGTTGAGTTCCGACATGTTTTCTTTCGTGCTCTGCAAACTAGTAGAGATTTTGTAAGAGCGCGTCATCCTTACTGCGACCGTTCTCAAAAACATGTAAGTCTCAGGCGTTTCCTTATTTCAAAATACCTAATTCTCCTTAATCGTCCAATTGTCCAATTGTCATCGTATCGTTTACGATTTGGTACTAACTTCACTTAGTGGCTTGCCGATCGAATGGCATGGGAGACTGTTTTCAAAAACGAGCCATTCCCCTGGTTGAACAACAAGCCACCAGGAATTCCTTCATCGGCCAGTTTACCACCAATTCACAAAACATCAAGGGAGGTTACTGGCAATTACTCCATGGCTCCCCCACCAGCTCAAATAGTTTTCAATGGTGCCAATACCAGTCGTCATTCGGTATACAGTATGACAAGTAGCAAATCGATCCAGTCGAGACCCGGCTCTGCTTATAGCGCAAACGCGTCTGTCGGAACAGCTGTATCTGGTGGTACCACGCCTTTTGGATCAAGTCCTGAGATGCCAAAAAAGCTCTCAGCGGCACTGCTGAACAAAGGAGTGATGAACACTATTGGTGAGGATTCCTCGGAAAAGAATGGAACAGATCTTGTCGAAGGTAGGAGAGAAGTGACTATCAGAAAGAACACACTTTTCCGTGCCCTTCTAGGAGACTGGGACGATTCGTTCAAATCCGTTCAAAGAAGTCTTGGGGTTACAATAGACTGTGAGCGCTTCTTCTCCTTTCAATTATTTTCTTAAGTTTAGAACTCACAATCCTAGATCATGACGATACCTCTGGACACTTCAAGCTTACTATCGAGCCATATCAGCCAGGAGATAACGTAGCGCTCGAAAGAGCGTACAAGTTCCTTGAGATCTGGAAGAGATTGATTTACTCTGATCAGTTAATCAAACTTGAACATTTTTGGGCCCAGTATAAGAATCATGACAAGACAACTGCAGTAAGTAGCAAAACACAACTGTTTGATTCGACCTCCCAACGAGCCAATCTTCCTTTCACTCAAGAAATCACTTTCTCATTCTTTCAGGTCAATCGCAAGCCTATGATACATGTTAATGGCAAGAAGATTCTTTGTCAAGAAAAGTTCGGTGATCTCTGTGATTTCTTCTCACAGGAGATTCAGGAATATCAATCCAATATGGCTGAATATGCTGACACTGAAAATGCACTTGCCTGCAGTACTCTTTTTGAGGTCAGGCCATACGACATTTACCTCAGCAGTTATCCACTTCCGATACTGCTTGATGTTGATACTAAGGCAAGAAATAAGATGCTTGATGACCATGATGCCTTCCTCGAAGAGTGGGTTCGAAGCTCTTTCCAAAATCGAATAAGCTTATCGGACATGAGCCACGAATATGCAAGAAGGAGTGATCAGAAGCGTATGGAACTAGATATGGATTTGGATGAGCTTCTTAAAGAAGGAGCAGCAAAAGCGGCAAATCAAATGTCATGATTGTAGAGTTAGTGATTTTAGGAGGTCTTATATTTGCTTTTTGTTCGGTATGAATAATAGCTAGTCGTACACGTAGTTTACACATGATCGTAGATTTTTCGAATCAATACCATAGTACTATGCATTTTCGACTGGTTGCCAAAACATAAACATTCAAAGGTCAAGATCCCCTTGTCTATTGCCAGTTCCACCAGTACTCTTCTATTCTCTTGCGGAACATAAAGAAACGTTCATTTGGGCAAGTGGTGTACTGCGGGGTGGAATCACGTGGTAGCCTGTCTTAGCGTGTCTTTTGTCGCGTTTACCTAGCAGTATCATCCATTTATTTGTTCTTCTCCAATTCAAGCCTTGGAACATCTTTGAAGAGTTCGATCGAAATTACCTCAACATGAGATATTTCATCTAAATCTGAATGTTACTGGAATAGATCCTTCAAAATGTCAACATTCGGCGGGTACATGCCTGAGTTCCCTGACATTCGTGGTGAGTGAATATTTTCCAGAGAACAAGCGTTATGGTGGATCAAACAATCAGCGGCTTGTTTTAGTAGCTTGTGACTGACATTTTTCTAGTCGACCATTTTCGCCAAATCATAGGTCGAACTGCTCCGCTAGCATGCTTCTTAAGCCATGTTCATAGCGACCATCTTGAGGGACTTGATAATGATCGTATTAAACTGCCATTTGTTTACTGTTCGGCAGCTACCAAAGAAATCCTGTTGAGACTTGAAAAGAGAAGAGACCGCTTGAACTTGGCGCAGGGTATTTTAGAGAAGGAGAAGAGAACCTATAAACATTTGAAGAGTGTCTTGAAACCGATTCCATTGGAAACTCCAACATTAATTGACTTGGCGCCGAAAAATGAAGTCAGGGTTACATTGTTTGATGCTAACCATTGCACGGGAGCAGTAATGTTCTTGTTTGAAAAGGAGGATACTGCAGTCTTGTATACTGGGGATATTAGATCGGAACCATGGTTCGTCAATAATTTGACACGAAGTCCATTCTTGATCGAGTACACAAACGGCTTGAAGACTTTAGATTGTATTTATCTCGATACAAGCAACACTGGACCATTAGCATTCCCTACAAAGGCTGATGGCCTGAAGGAAATGATTGAGAAAGTCAGAAAATATCCACCAAATACCAAGTTCCACTTTTCGGCCTGGACGTTCGGATATGAAGAGGTTTGGGCAGCGCTATCACGAACACTCGACTCGCAAATTCACGTTGACAAGTACAAGTACAAATTATATCAATCGCTGCGTCAGGAAGGTTTTGATGGTCAATCGCGCTTCTTGGCACCCGAGGGTCCTGTGTTGGTCGGGTGTATTGTTGGAAATGGCCCAAAAGAAGGTTGTTTGACTGCCGATAAAAACGTACGAATCCACAGCTGTGAGAAGGGAATGGGCTGCTCGGCTTATGGAGAGGATGATATTGTGTTAATACGCCCATTCATTGCCCGTGGACCAGATGGAGTGGAAATAGCAGAAGTTGGTATTGGAGGTGGCTGGGGCGATCTAGTGCCAAATTATGAAGTCGCCATGGATTTCGATGATGTCAAAGAATTTTTAGAGACAATGTAAGTTTACACTAATTTCTGCATGGATTTCTACTGACAATTTAATGAGTTTTGCCGAGACAGATCAACCCATAATTGAAGACATTCGACGTATGCTTCATGCAGAACTAGTATCTACGAAAGGGGCCATATCATTGGATGGTGTGCAATTTGGTAGTGATCAAATCTCTTTAAAGGGACTTGGTGAATCTTTGCTACGAAAGTTGGCACAGAAATCTACTGTGATACCCGACAAGAAGAGAGACGCTATTCCTGAAAAGGGCCTCCCCAAGGTAATCACATTTCCATACTCACGACACTCGTCATACGCCGAACTTTGTCATCTTGTTGAAATCTTCAAACCAAAAGATGTGTATCCATGTACCGTAGATGAAGAAGAATGGCATGAAGGTACGCAACAGACCCTCCTATCTTCCCCTTTTTGTTGTGTAACTACATACCCTCATACCACTTGAACACTAACTTTTTACAGGACTAAGCATGAAAACTCTCTTTGGCGATCATTGCTCTGCTTCTGTTTTTCGGCATGATAGTGAAATGCGAGGACTGGTTGCTATTCGTGTTGCCGAGATGGCCATGATGTCAAGCCAACAAACGCAAACAACGACTACGTCCAAATCTTCTCCAACGTCGACAGGAAATTTTAAGGGCCTCACTCTGGCAGCAGCCAGATTGGAGAACGAAAGTGGTCCTTCGACACCAACTCCATTCCAGAAAGAGACAACTAGAATTGGTCGACAATCAATGTCTAACTGGTCGCAAGAGCTGGTATCCTCATCTCCAGCTCCACCATGTCAAATAGGTGTAATAGGCATCAGTAAGACACCAAGATCAGTTGCTACAAATTTAGACTCGAGTTCAAGCCGTCAAGCGTCGCAGCGAAGAGCGACCGCGGATATGATTAGTCCACCACCCTTGAAACGCGTTCGGCTTAGCGAGGATTCCCAAATCAGTGGTTCAACGTAAGCTTCTCCGAGGTGTTCTTTCGTTTCCTCTTGAAGAGATGGTTTTCTGCTTCTTCGTCCCTTTACCTTGTAGCTTCGTCTGTCGGATTTTTTGATGTGTAGTTGCTGATTCCTCATGTTCCAGGTCTTTGAAATCGCCTACTCTTCCAAAATCTGTTACGGACGTAGAACCACAGAGCGTAGAGTCACCCGCTGAGCCCAGCGGCGACAATGTTGACTTAACAGTCCCACTTGAAATACTGATGGAGAAACTTGGCAATGTACCTGCACTTCTTGAGCAAACGCGGAAAGCATTACTGGAAGTCCATACTGGCGGGATGGATGTTAAAGCATACATCGCTCAGGGACTACCGACTCTGGATGCCATCCATATACAAATTGATCAGGTCGTACCACCACCCATTCTGTCGGCGCTATATGCTAATATGCAATCATTTTTTCACGAAGTCGTCGCAAAATTCTTGGAAATGCGTGATGATTTAGACTTGTATGCATATTTGGAAATGGAGATCGGATGGTATGTACGCCGCCAATTAACACCACTGCAACAACTCACTGAAGAGTTCAAACATATCAAGTTGTATTTGGATCAATCCCCGAGTCAACGGAAGCCCTGGAGATCTAAAGTAAGTCTGGAAAGCATGTCGGAAATATTCACACTTGAAGCCAATAGCGACGCAGATACAATGGATCATCAAGATATCTACACGCCCACGGACGAGAACGAACTAGCAGCAGATGGCACCACTGAGAGTGATGAAGATATATTTTCTACATTGTCAGAGGAAGAGAACCTTCGCGAAGATGAGAACTTTCCCTTCTATGACCCAATTGATAAGATCGTTCGATGTGGAGATTGTGGTCATGAGATCTGGGAAGACGCAGCTGGAAGAGTTAATTTGACGCTCGGGTTTTGTACTGGCTGCGGCAATGGAATTAATCCCTTTTACGAGGATGCTGATTTCCCCGGGAAAACCCCTCGTATTTATGAAGACCAATATGGAAGCGAGGCTGACGAAGAGAGAGCTCGAGTACTGATTGGGGATACACACCTCGACTATCAATCCTCGGCTTACGATACCCAAGATGAGGATTCCGAACTTGTTCTAAATGAAGATTATGAAGTTGATAGTTTTATTGATGATTCCGAAGTGCTAGAATCAGATTCAGAGTCTGCTATCTCTGATAGTGAGAGTGAGGGAGAGATAGATTACAAGTCCGAATTCAAGCAACTGCAAGCGAATTTTGACCTTTTGATGAACGATTATTGCGAGTTGGCGGACAAGTTTGATGAGTTTAGGCATGATATGCTTGGTACGAGTGAAGAGGAAGATGATGGGAATGGGGAGGATAATGATGAAGAAGAGGGAGTGAGAAGAGATGAGGTAGGGGCACATGTGGTGGATGTATTGGTGAAGCAAGGGGAGCTTGTGGTGGAGGATGTACTCGTTTCGTCGTTCAGAAGTGTTGGTGGGGAGGAGGGAGAGGGAGATGTGGACGGAGATAAATTTAGAGATGAAGAACTCGAGGATGATGATGACGCGATTGTTGATGTTACACACCACGTCTTTTAATCTGAGAGGAGAAAGAATGGATCTGTAATGGACAATACAATTGGGGTTAGCCGGCTGGTGGGAGGAGATAGAATGGGCCGGTTATTTGCTTCTTACGATAAGTTTTGATACCCGGAATTTGCTTTTCGCATCGGTGTTTGCTGGAAGGAATGGGCGGCGAGATTCAAGAAGGTGTTTCAGAGGGAAAATGGTACAGGTACCGGTATGGGTATAAGGTTCTACACGGTCCATTGTCTGATTTGATACCCGCGAATATGGATGGGAAAAATTTGTTTTAGCATTCATATTGCTATCTATGTGATGATATCATGAAGAATCAAGGGAGAAACTTTTCTCTAGAGCTCGCTCGCTAGTTTGTAGTTTTATCAATGCTACTATACATTCGCATTACAATTCATATTCACGTTCGCACACCTAGCACGATCATGTATTAGCTCCATCAATAATAAGCTGGTAATTATTTCTCGTTTTATTAGGAATATTTGAATGTTGTATGCACACTTAGTACATACATAGGCCCTCAAAATCCAATCTCTAGTCTCTAGTCTTCAGTCTTTAGCGCAGCATATCAAGATTTGTTTGTTTGTTTACTATTTGTTTATTTGTTTATTTACTTACTTATCTATATATTTTCTTCCCCTCACCTTTCCCCCCTCCCACTCTCAGCCCCCCTCTCCCCTCCCCTCTCCTCTCCACATCTCATCCCCGCTCAGCTCAGCTGGTAAAGGATTACAATTATAAAATCTTACCTGCATGTCACACTGTCACCATATTTACCAAACTTTCACACACCCAGATACCCAACGCACGGTAATGCACGGTAATGCACCGCAATGTGAAGAAATCACGAGGGGTGGGGTGCGAATGATTGGATGGGAGAGAAGGTTGGAGGGGGTCCAGCTCTGCTAGGTTCTGTATCTGTGTTTTGGCGGGTTGGTTTGGGGGTCGAGGGAGGGGCGAGGGAGGGGCGAGAATGAGAGGGTGGGTGGGGGGTATGTGGATGAGGGTGATGGCTGGGTGAGTGGATGAGTGGATGAGTGAGTATGAGTGAGTATGAGAGGAGGGGTAGGCGATGGCTGGATGGGAGCGGAGGGGTAGATGGGTAGGTAGCTATAGGTATGAATTTAATGAGTATTGGGTATTTCTCAGCTTTCTTGAATACGAGATCGAATGGGTAGGTGTGTAGGTAGGAGGTAGGTAGATATTTTACGGGTCTGGACTCTGGTCGTGTAGATAATCTACCTACCTACCCACCTACCTACCTACATACCTAGTAAATAATTGAATATAATATCGAGAAAAGGAAATCGAGGAAAGGAAATCGAGAAAAGGAAATCTACCTGGGTGATTGTTGGTTAGTTAGCAGAGCAGGGAAAGGAAGGTAGGAAGGGTTATTCACTTATTATTGGATGAGTAGACATAGGGAGATACTTCGATGTGTGCTTTGCTTTAGGAACGAGGGGGCTGGGATGGATGATTGGATTGTTGGGATTTATATTTATATTTATGTTTATATAGATACCTAGATATATACCTATAAGGTTACATGTATAACCTTATATTCTTTCACGAATAAGAAGATTTACCTCGGGATTGGATCGCGGGGATGTAATGTTTCTTTTCAAAGAGTGGTTCATACTGCTTATCCTATTGTATGTATATACATACATACCTACCTTATTCTCATGCTGATACATCTCTATGAAATAAAAAGAACGATGATTGGATATCGATGGATAAATATTTCGAAACTTCCTGGGTAGGTAGGTAGTTCTTCTTTATTTGTTCATATGAAGTATGTATTTGCTTATGATGGATTCGTATTTTAATGGTGGCAGTGAGTGAGAAGGAATGTCATGATTAGATGTGATGTGATGTGATGTGATGTGATGTGCGGGAATATTAATTATTCTACGGGGTTGGGAATCCGATTTGGTAGGGCAGGCGGGATAGGATAGGGCAGGCAGGGCTGGATCGTGAAAGATCGAGTGATTGGATCTTATGACTTGCATTTCTATCGACGGTAGAGTACGTACCTTGTCCTCCGGATGATTTGATTTGGGGTTTGTTTGGGTGGGTGGGGATGGATCGTGGATGATTGAACGAGTGATGGTGAGATGGCGAGGGTGGTGGTAGGGAGGGCAGGGAGATGTGGTTTCAGGGATTACTTGATTACTTCGTGTGGGTATGGGTATAGATGGGATTGGAGATGGGAGATGGGAGATGGAGGAATGAAGAATGAAGCTGTTATGGTGTGATGATGTGATAGGTACGGGGAAAGAGAAAAAAATGTTTGGTGGCACGAGGATAGGAGGATAGGTCTTCCTTGCTGGCTTGCTTGCTTGGGGTTTCTTTTCTTCGTCCTTTTTCTTCATCTTTCGTTGGGGCGACAGAAAGATAGATAGGGTCGGAAAACGTGGTCGAATATATCGATTACTGGGACTGGCACTGTAGTTCTGGAGAGTACACGACTGATTGCTCTCTGGGTAATCTGTGGTGGATGGATGGATTGGATGATGCTGGGAATTTTGTCAAGGTAGATAGATGATGGAGAGTGGAACAGTGACCACGTCAATGAACACGACAACAATAATCTAGAAGACACTCCAACTTCACGATACGCATCTCAGGAAGAATGAAAAATACACAAAGATTGGTTGAGTGGAGTTGTGCGTGTTGTGTGCAATATACAAAGGTTGCGAAAGAGGTCGGATCCAATGTGACTGATGAGAATGAATACCTATCATGGCACTTGGACCGATTTGGAGACCTTTGGAGCACCCTTGTCGTTATTGATTCTTGAAGCATCTTTTGCTGTTGTATGGACAGATGAATGGATGAACGGATGGGTCGGTGATGAAATATATATTATCGAATGCAACGATGCGATGCGGTGAGATGGTTGATGTGAAGAGATGTATGTGATGTTTATGCATCATGAGCGATGGAAAGATCGTGGACGAGAAGACCACCAGGACTTGGATTGATAACATGGATTTTGTAAACTCGTCTTCTTGTGATTGTGCATCTATTGGAGTTGAATGCATGATGAGAATAACATGAATGAACCAGCTACCTCCCTTATACCTAGTTGTGCGTACAACTTCAGTATCTATGCAAGTACAAGTACAAGTACAAGTTCAAGTAACGGTGGCATATATGCGATAGCCCATTCCATTCTCAAGTCAGATCTATATCGCCTACTGGCACATACTTACATACCTACATACCTACATACCTACTTGTACTTTGTACTTATCTATATATCTGCACATCTACCAGATTCACAAGAGAAACATATACCTGCTCTTTTATACTTTGTTGTTGTTGTTGTTGCCGTCGTCGTGGTTATACCCTCTTCTAAACATCCTCATCCTCATCCTCATCCCCATCATCATCACCACCCAGCCCCCAATTTTCTCCATTCTCGGTTTCTATTCCAATCAAGCAATCTATTTGATCGACCTTACTTACCGCAACTCCCACGGCATTGCAACCCAGGTGGGGGGGTTGGTTTAACGTTAAAGGAAAATAAACCTTCCCAGCAGATTCCAAGCATTTCTCGGAACATTTGGATTTCTGAGAATAGAAAATTCAATATCGACGAGGATTATATTGTCCGGGTAGTATCTCGATATATTGTTTCGATGTATTAATAAAGAGAGGGCTGTATATTGATTAGTATCGACTTGACTGGTTACGAACAGGAGATTTAGGTATATATGGTGTTTTCGGAATCAAGAAACTGGTGATAGGTATCGACAGCGATACATCATACCGACTTGGATTCTCATCTGCATCCGCTTGTCTAGGCATTCCAGGTTCAACTCACCCATTTATATATCTTCAGGTTGATGGAAGAAGGGTATGGGAATTCTAGGACCCGACTCTTATTCCAATCCACACTCCACCTCCACCTCAGCTCAACTTCAACTTCAACTCCAACCTCCTCGTATGATTGACCAAAAACCCAAGAAGGAATTGATTTAAAAGTACGACAACAAGTGAATGGAAGGAAAAGGAAAAGGGAAAGGAAAAGGAATGAAAGGGGTGGAATTATATACATCACGAATCATTGACGACGACTTCTTCCCATCTCGCATCGCTTTACAGGAATCCTAAAAGGAATTCACGAGACTTTCAAACAAATTGTCTCAGATCCGAATCATCTACTTGTCACCTCCCATTTATTGACTTTATGCTATACATAACACATGTTACATGTTACATGTTACATACTTCATACTTCATACTTCATACTTCCACTTACCTTCTCCTGAATTGTTTCTCCATTCGATTCTCCTCTACTCGGTCTCCCAAAGCAAACAACGCAAACCACCTACGGAGAGGAGTTATTCTCTAACCAGACATCTGATCTGGGTTTTGCGTTACGATCTAATTTCTGGATAAGACGATAGGACACGAAGACTTCACAAGTAAGTAAAGAAAGGAATTGTTGACCGACCCACGGTTGTAGACAACGATCTAATCCATTTCTTACTCTCAAATCATCCAATGACTCAATTCCTCAAGCATCCAAGCACCACATCATTCATCCAACCCCCTCCCCCCAAAAGAAAGCTAACCAGCTCATCATAGAAGATTTTATCAACACAACACCCATACAAGTAGTACAACGCAACCCGAACCCTTACCCTTTTTTTACACACCTACCAGTATCTACCTCTCACCTCTCTTACCTTTACTGTGACCACAACACCACGCTTCCTTCCTCCATATCCACTTCAACTTAGACTCCACCGCCAGTCCGACCTTCTTTTGACCTTCTTCATCACCTCATCATCGCCTCTTTAATTACTATTTATTTCACAATCTCACTCATTCCTTCACTACTCAGCTTGGAAGTCGACCAAAATAAGACAAGAAAAGAAATTTAACAAAGACACACAATCGTTCTTCTTGAAACGAATTCGTCAACTCAACTTTCTCAACTGTTTCAACTTTCTTCTCCGAGCTTTACTTTTTTTTCCCCCTTCTAC